CCCCCCCCCCCCCCCCCCCCCCCCCCCCCCCCCACTCCCCCAACTTGACACAGAAAGTGGGCCAAATTTGGGGAAGAACCTTTTTGGCGCATTTTGTGGGTAGGTTGCGTCATTTTTCATCGCCCAGCTACCCCCACCCCCCCCCCACCCCCCCCCCCCACCCTCACCCATCAACTCATTTTGCAAAGCTACGCTCCTGATGCCAGACGTGTCCGTTGGAATCAACATACATCTTGACTGACGCTTTTAGATCATTGATAATCAATGCCCTAGCAGACCGAATATTGTGTGATTCGGTCTTCCTTTCGAAAAGTCTTCCATGGTCAACGTCGGACGCATCAGCGGGTAAAATGCAGTGCACAATAACGTGTCATTTTATTCAAGTGCTACACCACCAGAGGTGAACAGAACAACGAGCACCGAGGCGTTGAAAGCCGCAGCTAGCCATCCGGCCTGCAAATATGTTCATATTTAGCCTTCCAAAAAACTGCTGAGTTTCCAGAGCAACGTCGTAAACAGACATTCGAAAATAAACTACGCAGTGCTGGAACATTTAACAGAATAGCGGCCTTCTACAATATTAGTCTAAAATTTTACGCGGCATGCAATATAGTCTGCATTTAAACGGCAGCATGTGTTCAATGGAAAGCTTAAGAGAAGTATCCAATATAAACGGCATGCAGCAACAGCCGCCATCCTTCCAAGCCGTTCCTTCGAGAGCCACCCATACGCGCATCGCATTCTCATTTCCAGCCTGGCAGCGGCAACCGGCCTCCACATCTAAAGACTAAAACAAGACCAGAAGCGCGAGTCTCCGGCGGCGGCGGTATCACTGGCCGACCGCGACCGGCGGGGAACGTCACAGCCCGAGCCGGCGTGCCGGCCCGGCCCGACACTCGGCGCCACCTCGCTGGCGCTCCAGCCACCCATCGGAGGCCGACGGGAGCGAGCGACGCCTCGCGAGCCGCCCGAGCGCGGCGAGCGAGTCAGCCAGCCAGCGCAGCCTACACCTGCACACCAACGCGAACCGCACGAACACAGCGAACGACGGCGAGCTCGGCTGGCGCCGGGGCCGGAGGTGCCCGCCGGACGTCGACCGAACGTCCCCCCCCCCTTCCCCCTCCTCCGCGCAGCGAAGCCGGGCAGGTGCGTGCAAGCGAGCCGCGCCGGTAGCCGGTGCGTGGGGAGCCGCGGACTGACGGAACGCGCGCGGCAGCACATCTAGGCCTCGAGAGCGGGCGACTTGGCCTCCGCATCTGGGGACTTGGCCCCGGAATCTGGGGACTTGCCTCGGATTCTGGGGACTTGGCCTCAGGGTTCGGAGACTTGGCGTCGGATTCTGGGGACTTGGCCTCCTCCGCCGGGGATGTGGCCTCCGCAGATTGGGACGAGTCTTCAGGCTGCGGTGGCTTGGTATCAGCTTCGGGAGATTTCGGGTTATCTGGCTGCGCGGGTGAAGACGGAGACTTTGCTGGAGATTTGTTGGGAGATTTTGTTGGCGAAGACGGACCCGTGCTCTGAAACAGTCATCGGGCACCAATCATAATACAACCATTCGAAGCCATAAGCAGGCGACAACCAAGACAGCACCAAGTTTGCCAGTCATCCCAATCATGATGTAAAGACGAGCTCTCCGTCGACTGCGATGAATATTGATTTTTCTACTTGCATAATGTGAGGTAAGGAAAATTAGATAGATGTGGAAACAAATCGTCGGTGATGGGCAGGTAACAATAGCAATAACGGGGCTTTAAAATATCACAAAATATAAAACGCCCATGCGCTTTGTCGTCCATGTCCTCTTCACGACATCATGTGCGCGCGTGGGTTTAAAATTTTGAGTCGAATGTGACAACAGTGCAATTGATATTTTGCTTACATACTAAGAACATGAAAAGCATACGACAGAAACTACTCGTGCTATTTTCCATCAGAAATTGCCATCATGGCCAGAAAATCACCGTCACTGAGCGTGTTGGCAGGTCCATTGACCGGGAGTACGTATGTGTGCCGCACGGGTCGAGATATGCCGGCTGGCACAGGCGGCACAGCTGGGACTGGCTAGCGGCAGGCAGGTCACCTAGTACACCATGGGCAGGAACCAGCGCAGATAGTGCAGCGTTTTGAAGAGCAGCACGAGGTAGGAGGCGGGCGAGGAGTGGACCACGTTCGCCATGCACGCCATGGCCAGAAACTCGACGTTCTCAAACCGGGGCACTTGGGGCTCAATGCAGATCACCTACAGGAACGGGTGCGAGGGCACAAGTTAGCAACGCCTTTGAAAGATACCGAGGAAGCTTCAGATCCAGCCACCGTGCTCCTTTTTCGAGTAGGCTATCATATGGTCACAACTTTAGCTTGGCGTTAGGATAAATGCAACCGGCGAGGAGCGGCCCCCTCCCGCTCCCCCTCAACCCACGACGCCCACCACCAGCGTCGATGCGCAGGTGCCTCAGAAACAGGAATGGAAGGAAGTGGTTCTCCATGTGTCGGCGCTGCGCATTTTCTGACGAGGAGTTATGCGCTGCGGGTCGGAAACTGAGCTGTTCATCTGCGCTGTGTGCATGAATGTTCGTCGATAAAGACATCGGTCACGTGTGACGCGTGTCCCAAAGCACCTACGCACACACACACACACATGTTGAATTTGTTGAAGGCTGCCAACACAACCCTGTTTGTGCTGCAGTTCCACACCGGGTTTCATGCACCCTCTATAAATGAGCTAAGAATGACGGCTCAAATTTGCATACGTGGTGCGTATGCCACCCCAAAAATAAAGACCACGTCCTGTCGCATTCTCACGTGCTGTCGGTAATTGGCATCGCGTCTGAGAACATGGCATACTTCGTCAGTCAGGTAAGGGGGCAGCAAAGACTGTACAAGCATGCGGAGCTAAAGAAAAGAGTACAGAAATCACGTTCAGTCAAGATTGCTATTAGCTTTCCCTCCAACCACCTGAACATATGGATGTGCCTTGAATGTACAATCCAAAAGGACCGACGGCTCTAAACACTACAGACAGAGACTTGAGGTGCTGATGTTAGTAGCGGCCAGCTGTTCACCAGGGCCTGCAGGCTTGTAAGGCGCTATGTTAGTAAGCCGAAATCCACCTGTAAAGGAATACTCACCGTCAGAGCCGGGCTCAACCCCTCACCGGTTCCGTGGCGTCATCTATCGAGCTGGCCTGAGACTTGCGCCTGCTACGGCCCTCGCCAGAGCCAGAGCTAATCTGGCGAATGTACTCAGTGTCGTTGAAGATTTTCTTGTCGCCACCTTGCGGCTTGTGTTTCACGTTATCCAGCGAGCCAATCCTACTGCCCACCGCGGACATGTCAATTTTGATGGATTCAACCTGAAAGGGCGGCGGCCCGCAGGGCATGAGTGCAGTGCAGCCGGTGCAGTCGCCGCATGCTTCTCTCGCGAGGTGCTCCTCGCAGCCCAAACACATCCAAATATAGCATGACCATACACCGTGACGTCATGTTCTGCACGCAGCACACAAATAAATGACCGCGTGCCGTGTTGTGAGGTGCTGCAGAAAACGAATGCCCGTCTCTGTGTGGCGATACCGTTGGACGTTGAACGCATCACAAACGAAGCACATGCCATACCCGCTATTCTGGTGGTAACGTGACGACCAAAGTGGGTAAACAGCTCGTGGTGGTGACGCTGAGAACATATATCAGCTGAGCAGGCGTTCTTTTCAGCGGTCACAACTTCCAACGTGGTACAAGCTTCATGCACACAGCATACATAGCATGTTTTGTTGAACGTTGGCACATCAACCACATCATGCTTGAATGTCTTATGATTTTACGGCTGATCAGTGTAAAACAGACACTTAATGTGACACGTTGGGGCAGGTGTAGAATGAGAACGGGCAAATCTTCAGAACACTTTACACCAGTGCACCAGTGCCGTGCGTGAAAACATCCCAGACATTCCGTGGCATTCTCCAGCCAATACCGGTGCACCCCTCTGTCCGAGCGTGACCCCTAGCGATCTCTGTGCCCAGTGGACGCCACCTCGGCACGGCCAGGTGGCACTGCCAGCCGCCACCGTTTGAGCAAGTGACGCTGCCTGCAGCTCGGAGGCAGCCAGGTGGCGCTGCCATCGTCAGGGCATACCTTGACATCGCCGCCGCCCGGTTTGTGCTGCATGTTGTCCCGCGAGCCGACCTTGGGTGCAGCGCGCTCCTTGAACTCCAGCTTCTGGTTGCTGACCTTGACATTGCCGCCGCCCGGCTTGTAGTTCGTGTTGCCCATGGAGCCGACCTTCGACTCCGACTTCCACTCCAGCTTCCTTGACTCGATCTGCAAGTACAGTGCGTTGGTCACACGCGTGCTTGACTGCCAGTGAGGTGGAAGCGAAAGGGAGGGTCCGGAGCAAGGGTGGCTGCTGGTTATCACGCTGGGAACATAATAAAGTGGGAAGCTCGGAGGGTCATGTGGCGGGATCGTCGGGGTCCCAGGCCCTTTGCAGCGCGCACGTCCAGCCGTACCGAACAACTGTCCACCCGAGGCACACTAAGCAGCTGGACTATTTTAAAACTGTTAATAAATCCGAAGCACACCTATATGCGTGTACCCGGACGTCCCTTACGGAAAAGGAAAAATGTAAAGTTGTCTCCGATCTCCTCTGACTTTGGGCTGAATTCCCGCGAAATTCTCAGCATTTAGTATAAACCCCATTCGTTAACGCGGGGAGGGCATGGGCTCCGTGTCCCCACCCCCTCCCTCCCCTTTTAGCCTCGTCCCTCACACCTATGGCAGCTAGTCCATAAAGCGAACTGATATTGGCATCACCAGAACACAGGATCCTCATCATGAAACGCACCCAAACTTAGATCAAATCATCACTATTATGCGGCTAGTTTTCTCACATGATGTTGGGTGACCGAGAATCTGCATCTATCCGATGCACAGCTATAATCATTCACCGCTTAAATTTTATCTTTGTAGTGCCGCTACCGGTTTTGTAATTAGACTTTATGGGTCTATCTGATTTACAATTATAATTGTTTGCCTCTTCAATGTTTACCTTTTTGGTGCCACCGCCGGGTTTGTAGCTAGACTTTGCCTGGATTTTTGTCGAGGCCTTGCTCACGTCGATTTTGTGGCTTTCGATTTTGATGTTCCCTCCACCGGGTTTGTAGCTTGAATTTGCCAGAGACCCGATGCGAGATTTGACGTTCTTTATGTTCGGCGAAGCAGCTGTCCCCACTTGCACCTTGTTCATGGGTACTTCTGAAACGTACCGAAAGTACAGTAACACACGTCCCACGGGCGACACAAGTTATCTATACAGCTTGAGTGTGCTGCGGCGCTCAACGTTAAGCTAGGACCCCAGTCCTCAGCTTCGTGATCAACTACAAATTGGAGATGAAGTAAGTCCATTTAACTTCAGTATTTGATCTGGGGCCATGCCTACGCATATACCATTCGCTCAAATATTTCAAGGTGTTAAACGAAAATACCTGGGGAAATAACCTATACATTTTTTCAATGCGGACTCACACGGACAATTCAATCTGTGATATCAAGCGCCGAAAGCATATACATGGCCATTATGTCATCAGAAAACTCAGCTAGCATTGGCTTACTTTCTCTGTTCACGCTGCACAAATTGTCTGCATAGTCATAGCTGGATGTCCCCAGGTCCGGAACGCGGGGTGGTGGACCGTAAGCTATCGTCCCGGACAAAGTTCGATACACAACGGGACGGATATGAGGGCTTTTCATGGCCAACAAATCAACGATAGGTGCAATAAAATTGTTTTACATTAGCAATTGACAAGGAATTTTAAATTGTTCCAAAATATTACGGATTTCCATGCCCTACTACATTGACAGGGAGTTGCTGTTCGGTATTTCTGGGATTAACATGAAATTCATAACCTTTTCTTCTAATCCAACACGTGACATAGGCTTCAGGTAGTTCATCTGCGTGCATAACTCCCAAAGCGGATTCACAAAATACCAAAACAATCGTTATCTACGAGGCATCGTGTTCAATTTCCATACTGGCACGTCAACGTATCGACCAAACTTAAATATTGATATGTTGACGCGGCATAAACTGCGAAGAAAGAATACGATTTTCCACAATAGCAATGGATTTGACCCCATACAGCTGAGCTCGATACTGAATTTCACTTAACAGTGCACTTGATCTTTTTCAGAGACGCCTTCAACTGCCAGAGATACGACTGAAAGCTCATGAGCGTTGCACTTGCGCCACCATTGCTCGTCCTCCTCACCGATTCAAACATTTAAATAAAAAGTATGAGGTCGCAAGACATCAAACTTGCAACATTTGAATGCACTACCGGGTGCCAACAATTTCCATCGCTTGCTGAACAGTTGCCTCCTTTTTCGAGGTTTCTGGGTAAAAACACATCAAAACAACTTTCATATATTTGCCAGGTTAAACTGAGCACGCTAAGAGAGGAGTTCATTCTGAAAGTGCTCAATGCCAAAACAACATCAGCGTAGTGCATACAGCTTTACTTTTCTGGATGAGCAAAGGAACGAGGTTGTGACGAAATGCAACGGATGAAAGATCAGCAAAGCTTATGGTGACGTTCTTGTGAAAAATTGTGCTGGCAAGATATTTGCTTTCCTTAACCCGTTCGCAACCCTGTCTGAATACCGAGAAATCGACACACTCACGCCAACGATTTTATTGCCGGCAGTTTATGGTCATGCGCAAAAAATGCGCATGCAATTACGCCTTGCGAATTAATCGCGGAGCGTTGCATATCTATGACGTGTACATCGAACTATTATTTTATTAATTGCTGAGGGTGATACTTAAGGGACTAAGCAGGGGCAGCTTTTCGGAATGTGTGTACAGTCATTTAGAAGCCTTCTTCTTATGTGCGGACGCCATTTTATTGATGACTTGGATGGCTTCCTTATCTCTACTCAACTGCCTTAAAAATCTGGCAATCTTACTTGAAGTCTGCTTTGTCTTCTTTTTCTTTTTTGACTTTTTCTTCTTGGTCTTAACCATGGCAGCAGCTGACGCAGCTCTCCTGCTTCCGCTTCGGGAGGCAGCCGGTGATGCAGGCATTAGTTTCACGTGCTTCAAGATTCCCGTGGACACATCACTTGGATAGCTGTGCAAGCTGCGGAGACTGCGAACGGACGGTTCTCGACTTTTCCTCACTTTCTTTTTCTTTTTCTTCGTTCTCTTCTTTTCATCTTTCGGTTTGGTGTCATCAGGTAGAGACATCTTGGAATTTATACTTTTCTGGGACGGTGACCGTCTCTGATTCCGCGAGTGATGGTGCGAGGAGGAGCGTTTTTTGATCTTGACCTGAACGCCGGTACTCTTGGTAGGATTTTCGTCAATTTGCGTGGCAGACGAAGCAAACCTTTTCTCGGACACTGGAGAGCCTAACCGCCCGGCAGAGCTGTGCTGAGTAGTCAGCGCGTTCTGCCCAGAGGTGGCCCGAGCTCCAGTCAGGCACGAGGGCTTTTCAATGGGGATGGACCGAACACGGTCGGCCGACCGCACGCGATGCCGGCTCTCTGGCGGCGGCGGCGACGGGCTTCCGGGGGTCGACCTGAGGCGCACTTTGGCCTTCTTCCACTCCATGTTCTCCGGAGTTTTCTGGACTGGTACCGCTGTCTTCTGTTCTGGCTTGACAGCGCTTTGTGGGGAAATCGGAGGTTTATCTGCATCGACGGCGGGTTGGTCCTCGGAGACCGGATCGGATGCGTGTGGCGCAGAACTGGTGGACGTCTGACAGTCCGGCTGACTGCTGGTAGTTTCGGCAGCCTTCTTGCCCAAGGCGTCCGTCTGAGTCGTTGAGTGGTGTCTGGAGATCACAGTGGTTGCCGATCCCGATGACTCCTCCACGCTTAAACCACTAGCAGCAACGAATGTTTGCGTGTGCTTGGAGTTTTTGGCGGCTAGTTTGAACTTCGTAGCCAGATACTGCTGTCGGCGAACATTCCTGCCGCGGGCCATACGTGGTGGGCTGCGAGCAATCGATTCAACACTGCGCTGGTTTTCTATGGGATCGGTGTCGCTGCTGTCTGCCGCTATAGAGAAAGGCCTCCGACGCCGTGGAGATGCCGTCTTACTGCGAGACCTGGATCCTCGCTTCGGCGATGTGACAGCATTGCTGCTTCGCGTTTGCTGAATCTGTGTGGTGTTTGCTTTCTGGTTGGCTTTCACGGTGGTCAATCCCCTAGAAATTTCGGCATCAGGCTTATTCGGCTTCAGATGGTACTGTGCATGCAGCGCAGTTCCCTGACTATGAGCAACCCTTCTCTCACAGTTGGCACTCGCTGGTCTGGTTGGCTTGATCGCTGAATTGTTTTGAGATCCTCCAGAATGTTGCCTGTTAGGACTTACTCCACGACAACCACCCGGCGGTTGAAATCCTCGCGACCTCTCCTTTTCTATCTCTTTGTATTTCTCCCTAACATGCAACGGTAGTGATAAGTCGTTTGGGTCTCTCAAGTTCGCGTACACATACTGTATCATATGTTTGCCACGCGCATCGTTCGCTTTTAGGTAGTAAGTTCCAGGTAGCGGCACATTGCTGCCAGCAGATGCCGGCCTTTCCAGATTGGTTCTTGGAATGGAGTAAAGTGCCTGACCTGAGCTAGACTTCGAACTTTCGTTCTGAACGTTCTTCTGAAGGTCATTCGAAGAGACCCGATTTACCACCTCTGGTGCTGCTTGGGGAGTATGGCTGGATGGCGAAAGAGCCATCCGTTTCCTTTACAGATAAACAATTTATCCGATAGATAATGGATAATTTGTACGCCAAAAAGAAGGCCCAAAAATAAACCACAGCATATTGATAATGATTTGGCCTCGTGCGTCACATAAGTCCGCGTACTAAACTAAAAACATTGAAAACAAAGCCGCTCACGTGTGCATTTTGATTGAGCGCTGTCATTTGACTGAGACAGATCTGATGATCTGTCTTGATATACTGACTACTTTGATAACCGTTACTCTGCTATATTTGTGAGGTACCTATGTAAGTACTTACTTTGCTGACGGCGATTTGCAGTTAATATATCAACGATGCATTCGCATCATAAATGTATCGCGATACGTCGCTTGCCTATAATGTGGGCATCAAACTGTGATTTGATCGTTTGTTGAATGAGTGCTGACGCCAGTTAGATTAAATGGATAATTTCTTGTATGTGCTGCTTTACTATTTTCGCAGCTTATCTAGCTCATGGTCTTTGGTACTGCGAGCATGTAGGTCAAAATATGCCAGCCATCAATGTACTAGGAGCTATTGGTTAAACGAAGAGCGTAAACAATCATTAAGATCGATTATGGAAATATTCAACTGAGTGCTTTCATGGAATGGCACCACGATTGCCTCATACCTTCCTTTAACCTACAGTTTCCTTTGCATTGTAGGCCGATTATTGTCGGATGAGAACTTACAATATGACATGGTTGGGCCACTGTCTTGAAATATATCATTGCTAATTGTTTTCATTTTTCGAGCAAAACAGCCTTTGTGCTCCCAAGATAGTAGTAAATATTGCTCATAGCCATGCATCTCACATCATTATTGTCACAAATAGCTTGTTTGTAGCCCAGAACGCATTACTGAAAATCCAGCACGCTTGCCGTATGAGCATTGTATAGCGGTTCAAACTTGTTTATGGCGTAACGGGCATATAATGTGCAACCGTATTTCAAATGCGATTAATGTAATCGTATTTGATCTACACGATTATCACCATGACGATTTTTACACAACGGATCCTACGGTTTGGTGGGTATCGGGACGTTATGGCCTGTTGAGTGGGGACCACACGACCTGGAGAGAGTCGGGACCTCACGGCCCTGCGAGTAGGGAACCACACGACCTGGAGAAAGTCGGTACCTTATGGCCCGGTGAGTGGGTGACCACACGACCTGGAGTGAGTCGGTACCTTATGGCCCGGCGAGTGGGTGACCACACGACCTGGAGTGAGTCGTGACCTTATGGTCCGGTGAGTGGGTGACCACACGATCTGGAGAGGGTCATGACCTTATGGCCCGTTGAGTGGGGGACCACACGACCTGGAGAGAGTCGGGGCCTTGTGGCCCGATGAGTGGAGGACCGTACGACCTGGAGAGAGTCGGGATCCGTGAGCTGGCGGGTGCACAGCATGTTTGTGTTTAAAGTGGCCTAGTCGATATAGCGATTTAATATGTATATATATATATATATATATATATATATATATATTTATCGTCACCGTACAAATGCCACTAAATGAGTCACTTACTTTTTTGCTTCTCTTGAGATGTGGCCGGCTGGACGCGTTTGGTCGGAGAGCGGCTCTTCTGAGGGGAAACTGATTGGTCGACATCCTGTAAAACCAGAAGAATGTAGCAAACAACCAGCAATCTTTGGAAATCGGATTATACATGAAATGAATCTACGCCCTTGGCATTTGAACGTACAATTACGCACGTTTCAGACTCATGTGCTCGTATTTTGAAGTGAAAAGCTATCCTTGGGTATGCAGTATAGCTGCTGGTGCGCCAATCAGTCAGATTAATGGAGCTTGGTTGAAAGGCTTCGCAAGCCTGCGTTTTATGAGTGTATTATCTGCCACAATAGATGCAAGGTACATGCATTGGGCCAAATAATATGTTAATAAGCTGGGTAACAGGTCAAGAAAATATCTAAAGCAAAATCCAAGTTTCCAGTAATGCAAACACAACAGTATTTTGGTTCACGTTTTGCTCCTTCCCGTCATGTCATCTGAAATGTTTGCATCCTGATCAAAACGATTAACATATTGCCAGTGCCGTCATAAGCATTATACTAGGAGGCCTTCAGAGCTGCCAAGTGCTCCGAAAGACAGCATCGCAATTGTATTTATTAAGTAATGTTGAAAAGCTACTTAACAAACCATTTGGATCGCGCCAAAATGGTATTAAATGTACACACTCGCATGTCATTAGGTCAAACACCTGTATTTGCACAAGTACTTTCTAACTTATCGTGCTAAAGAATATAAAATGTGCAGCTGTCTGTTAACACCATGTTTCCAATGAGAGCAAAACACCCGCAAAAATGATGTCACAAAAATATGTATTATGAGATGTCAAAGTCTTCTACACATGTTTGTATTGCTGATTGGGGTTAAAGGGCGCGTCGACCACCATGGTCGTGTTGCGTCTATTTCTGCGCATTTAAAAGCATGCTGATTTTTGGGTGATTGGGTCAGTGAGTAATAAGTTAAAGGTTCTATACCTGTTCTTCAAAACAAAAATCGTTAGTGCCAGAAACAGGTAGATCAAGGTGGTAAAAGTTCAATGAATATTATTTTTCGGGGGGAGCTTCATCAGCACGGAATAACATTTCATATTGTGCAGTGATACCACCACGTGTGCAGTGATGCCACCACGTGTGTAGTGATGCCACCACGTGTGCAGTGATGCCACCACGTGTGCAGTGATGCCACCACGTGTGTAGTGATACCACCACGTGTGCAGTGATACCACCACGTGTGCAGTGATGCCACCACGTGTGTAGTGATGCCACCACGTGTGCAGTGATACCACCACGTGTGTAGTGATACCACCACGTGTGCAGTGATACCACCACGTGTGCAGTGATGCCACCACGTGTGCAGTGATGCCATCACGTGCTTTCTACACACGGTGGTATCTTAAGTAGAGTTAGCTGACCTAATGCTGTCCGTCTATAAGACACCAACACAGGTATCTCACGTAGAACATTTAACGTGTGATAAAACAATTGTTATATTTTACATATCAGATTTACTGTAGAGCGTTAGGTGGTCGGATATGTGTGACACATAGCTCTTGGCACAATGATGAAGTCAAGATATCTGGTCTGAAGTGTCTAATAATGTTTTATATCGATTATTTTTCCTTCTACACGCTAATAATTACTAATTTAGTGAATTTAATGAGCAATGACGCAGTTCCTGTGATCCTATGACTTCTGTGCAGCTCACATAAATGCACAAGACCGCATTTCAATATCAGAAGGGAAACACATTCAAGTCCCTTGCATTCTCAAACATGACCATCATAAAGTAGCTGAAATTCGAGATAGGGTGCGCTCTTTCACTTTCCTTTCAACGTCCCCGGAATACGAATAACCCGGAATCTGTAGTTAAAGCGTTCATAAAAGCAAAAGGTGAGAGCAGCAAGAAAAGGCAAAGCGTCGCCGCATCATATGTACGTAAGCAGCTCACTTACCTTTCCTTCGTCCACACCCGAGTCCCGATCAGCGTCTGAAACCAGAGCAAAACGGTCAGATTCAGATAGATTTTTATCGCAGAGATAAGCACTGAGGTTTCCGAACAACCAGTGCGGTGTGAAAACCGAAAACTGCTGAGCAGCCCTGCCTACAAAGCTTCAATGACTCGTTTCCAATGCGGCATCACTGACGAAACCTCCAGCTTCCGAGAAGCGATCTGCATAATCCTGAAATTGTTGCGGCTTAATCAAGGAAACCGATAGTAACCAAGCAACATGAAATTACAGCTTGAATCGTGTGCGAAATAAATGTACGAATGCACCCATAACGAGCTGCATTTGATGTTCAGAAATTTCCACTCGTGTCCATTTAACAAGGCACACGATCCAAAGGCGGTTATTTCCTCACTGCCTGCACTACATGTGTCACATAAAACAGGATGAAACGGCGATAAAAAAGCATGCATATATATATATATATATATATATATATATATATATATATATATATATATATATATATATTTATATATATATATTTATATATATATATATATATATATATATATATATATACATATATATACTCGCATGTCATTAGGTCAAACACCTGTATTTGCACAAGTACTTGCGAACTTATCGTGCTAAAGAATATAAAATGTGCAGCTGTCTGTTATATATATATATTTATATACATACATATATATATGCATGTATATATATATATATATATATATATATATATATATATATATATATGTATATATATATATATAAAGCAGTCCATTTAGCTCGCTAAATTTGGCGTCCCATGCTTCCTTATTCGGGTACCCTCATGTTTTAGTTAGTTTTAGTTCATTTTAGCATTATCGTAGCTATGTTTATCAGTATTGTGCCGATATACCGAACAAAAATGCAACAAAGTGTGTTTTTCCTCCTTCGTTAGGTCTCGGAAGGCAGCCCAGCATCCAAAAATGAATGGCCACAGCCACGAAGAAAACGAGCAGCAGTGCTGTGTTAACTCAGACTCGGAGTTACAACGGTTGGCAGAGCAACATCGGTCATCTTGATGTTTGTTGGCTGTTTTCTCGTATAGAGTAACAGATAACTCTAATATGAACAGGAAAATCAGCAGACGTTTCCCTCTGTCTTATCAGCAGACCGTGAGCCCTCTTCATTGATGTGAAGAGTAATCCTTCACGAATGTCGTAAATCATCATCTAGCGGGCCCTCAGAAAAGACGACGCAATGTTAATCATTTTAAAGTTGTTTTTTTTAAATACCGGAACCAACGTGAAATACCGACACCTACTTACTGTAGCCATGTCGTCCAACAACTGACACAATTCACTTGGTCCCGCAACTTCACGCAGCTATGTGCTTAAGTGCTCGCGGGCATCTAAGGAGAAACTTAATTCGCATCATTATTTTTATGGCTATCTGGGAGGGTACCCGAACGTGTAACGTGTGATGCCATAGAAACGCGGTCGTATTGGTTGCTGGTAAAAATAGGAGGAAGACCGGCGCGCGCAAAAGACATATGTGAAGAAAGATCCAGCCTAACCTTGATCTTTCATGAACAGCTTCGATAAAATATGTCGCAGTTCAACCTGCGTAATTGTACAAAGTCGTAGACGTCGCAAATCTCGCACCGGCTAGGCTAATTGTAGCCTTCATGGAGCTTAAAACCATTATCACCAAACATCCTGCGCTTGTGTTACCCACGGAGGCATAAATTAAGTTATTGAGGAAACATTCTGTTTCGCGATAGATTAAGCATTGCCTATTCGGGGACGATTGTACGGCTTTTCGAAAGCATGGGCCGGGTAAAACTTAAGCTGTTCATGTTCAACAATATTTCCCCAGAACTCCCCCACCTCTTCGTTTCCGCGAGAGCGACCGGCCCCGTATCTCCTTTTTCTTGAAGTCTGCCTCCTCTTGCTTCTTCTTCTCCAGCAGCAGGGCCTGGGCGCGTGTCATACGTATGACGGGTCCGCCGCCGGCGCCGGCGGCGGGCCGCTTCCTGGGCGAGGCTTTCCTCCGGTCCGCCGATCTGCCCGTGCGCTCTTCGGCGGGCGCGGTGGTACCTTGCGCCGCCGGCTCCTCTGCTGGCGAGGGGTCGGATCCGGTAGCCGCCGCCGCCGCCGCCGCCGCCGCCGCCGTCGCTGCGGCTACCGCGATCGGCGCCGCCGCCAGCGCTGCCTCAGACGCGCCCGTCTCGACCTGCCCCGGTTCTGACTCCGGCTCCGGCTCCGGCCCTTGTTCCGACCCCGGCGCCGGCTCAGGCTCTGGCTCTGGCTCTTGCTCCGGTGCCGGTGCCGGCTCCGGCTCCAGCTCCGGCTCTGGCTCCGGCTCCCGCTCCGGCTCCGGCTTCGGCTTAGACTCCGACTCCGGCTCCGCTTCCGTGCCCGTTTGTGTTTCTTCAGCTGCCTCAGGTCCCGTTGCTGCTGTTTCAGCAGTGGTTTCAGCCCCGGCTTCTGCTGTTTCGTCAGTTGCCGTAGCTCCCGTTTCTTCCGCTTCATCGACGGCCTCCGCGCCCGCCTCAGCAGCCTCGGCCGCGGTGTTTGAGGCTGCAGTCTCGGCCGATTCCGGAGCCGGTTCGGAAACTCCAGAGGGGGACGGCGCAGGCGATGGGTCTGTGGTGTCGGTGGTCGGGGCGGGCACCTCTTGGCTGGCGTCTGGAGACGCCCGATGGCTCGTTTCCCCCGGCTGGAGTCGACGAGAGCGCCGGCGAGGGAGCCTTGGCCGACGCCGGCGTCGGCGTGCGAGCCGCTTCCGTCGCGGGAGCCGGCGACGGCAAGCGCGAGCTCTCCTTCGCTGCGGCGGGCGTCGGAGTGCGGGATGCCTCCTTCGCCTGAGCGGCCGAGGAAGCGCGTTCGTTGTCAGACGCCGGCGTCGGCGTGCGGCTCTTCTCCTTCGTCGGACGAGGCGACGGCGACGGCGACACCGGCCGGCCCGAAGCAGGCGTCGGGGTTCGGCTGCCGTTCGGCGCCGGGGATGGCGACGGTGACGGCTTCGCGGCGGACTGTGCGGAGGACGCGCGGGACGGCGCCTCCTTAGTGGGAGCGGGGGACGGCGATGGCGAGGGACCCTTGGCCGAGTCGGGAGAGGGTGTTCGGTCGCGAGCGGCAACGGACGAGCCCCTGCTGGGCGCGGGGGACGCCGCCTTGTTGGGCGAGGACGAGAGCGCCGGAGAGACGCGGGCGGCCGGGTCCGGTGACGGCGAGGGCGCTGCGCTGCCGGCGGCGGAGGCGGCCGCAGGCTGGCCGCCCCGTCTCCGCCACCGACGCCGACGAGTCTGGCCTGTGCTCGGAGCCTGCCTCGGAGGCCTTGCGACCACTGGCCGCCGTGGACGGTCGCGAAGACGCCGCCGCCTCCTCGGGCCTCGATGGGGACGCCGCCGCGACCGAGGCCGCGTCGCTGTCCTTATCAGCATCCTCCGGAGACGAGTGGTCTTCGGGCACCTCCGGGCTGACCGAGCGGTGCGACTCGACCGCGCCGTCCGGCCCCGCCGCCGAGCCGGCCCGGGCCGACGAGGCGCGCGAGCCGCGCGCCGACGACGGCGTCGGTGAGGCGGCCACCGCCGAGCGCGCCGACGGCGGTCGCGACGACACGCTCGACTTGACCGACGGCGGCCGCGACGACTTGGCCGACAGCACCGACTCGGGCCGCGACTCGTCGGCGATCTCGGCGGCCGTCGCGCTGTCGGGCCGCGGCGCCGGTGCCGGCGACACCACCACGTCGTCATCGTCGGAGGCGTGTCCGCGCGCCCCGCTGTCGCCGTCGTCGTGGAGCGCCGTGGCGCCGACAGCGCCCGACACCGTGTCGACGGTGCCAGCGCTGGCCTCCGCCAGCGCCAGCGGGTCGGCCGGCGCGTCGTCGCCGACGGCGACGTCACACGTCAGCAGCTGCTGCTGCACCGAGCTGAACACCTTGCCGACCAGCCGCTCGGCATCCAGCGAGCCCTGCGAATCAGCCGTCGGCAGCGGCGGCACCTGGAAGCCGCCAAGCGGCAGCCCTGCCGCCCGTCCTGCGCCGTCGGCCGAGTCGACGGAGCGCGTCGAACCGGACGCATCGATCTAGAACAAAGAGACCCCGATTCACCGGCGCTCGACTACGGAGCCGCGATAACGAGCGTCTGGACCGAAACCGGCGAAGCAACTCTCCGACACGAGCGGGACCATCGGCGGGCCGGCCGCGGCGCGTACCCCGTTGGTGGCGCCATCCCGAGCAGCGCTGGCCGAGCCCGGCCGGCTGCCGCTCTCCGGGTGCAGCTCCGACATTGGGCGTCTGTGCGGCTCCGAGGCGACGAATCTGGAGGAGACCTGGCCGCGGCCCGGCGCCGCCGTCAGCGCCCGTGGTCCCGCCGCTCGACAGCGGTGCGTGCACGGTGCGGGGTGCGGGCGCTGGGCCACTTAGCCACCGATATCTTGGGATCTAACCCAGTGGGCACGCTACGTTGCGCCTGTTGCTTTATGACGATGGGGAACAGCACTGTGGAAAAGCAGACTCCCTAGGGGCCGTGGAAGTACATAAATTGACAAATCGAATGTGCAGATGTTCATGCATGATGAATGCATGCATAGCAAGTGCTTCGGCGAGTTGCATGTGGCGCGAGGCCTACGGATCCTTAAATATTCCGGGCATGATTCTCTTTATAGGACAGAGCCTCGGTCACAGCTAATTCGTGACGTGAATGACATGCTCGATATAGGTATAATGCAATGAACGGTGGCTTCATGGGGCAGCTTTTTGCTCTTCTACGCCAATCTGTGTTAACGTTTTGGCGAGTTGATATATTTAGCCGCCTCCATCACTCCCATCATCACTAGTGCCTGTATCCAGCAACATTCCTGTACCGAGCCAAGCCTCCGTGCTGTGTCTAGTGACCTCTGTATTGGCCCTCTAGCTAAACACTCAGCCACCGAGGGCTAGGTCAGTGGGGCTGTTTTCCGGCTGGTCAAATGCCCTCGCACGGCGCAATCAACGATGAACGCCCGGTAACGACACGGCGCAATCAATGATGAACGCCCGG